AGGAATCCTAAGCGGGCGAGAATGCACACTGTGGCAGATTAATTGGCAGCTTTACCTCTACAACTTGACACTAAAAGCAGGCCGAACCGCTTTAATGTTACATGGCTTTCTGACCGCAGCCTTCTGTGAGAGAGTGTCAGGGTGCTGTCCCGCGTCGCTCCCCGAAGGGGTCAACGTCAGGTCGGTCACTCGCTATGACACTTCACAGACAAGCTGGTCAGAAACCATTTGGGGTTTTAAGGTAAAACGTGCCGCCAAGTTTCAGTGTCTCGCCGCTCGGGCCACAACCAGAGTGACCCCTGACCTAAGTAGCCTGAAACCTGGCACTTTGGCCTCTAGTGGCCTGTGCTCGGCTCGGACATCAAGACGGAAAACAAACAAGTTACAACTAACCCTGCTACCATAGACAGCTGTCATCGCGTCTATCGAAGTCAGTATCCTTATTACCCCAGGTGTATGTCGCACCCCCGCGCGGCGAAAGGCGCGGAGAAAGCCATAGGATCGTCGCCCTCGGGAGTGCGTGAGACATTGGAGGATATCGGATAGCTGCGCATCATGCGCCACTCCCCAACACGGCTCACAACCTCCCGACACACTGCAGCTCTGCGAACCCGCGGTCCACCTCCCTGGATGCGACACAGCGCGCTCGCCCCTCGCCAACCCTTCGCGAATGCAAGCACGCGCGGCATTTTGTCAACTCCTGGCCCCTTGGAACCCCTACAGATATTCTCATCACGAGAACCCTTCTCTGCAAAGCATTCGGGTCGGAGAGATGTCAGGGGTCTGAGTGCAATGAGTGGTCTGAGTCTCTGGTCTGGCGGGCGGGTGCCTTCAAGGGCTCCCCTTCCCGCAGTCGCCAGCGCTTCAGAACGCCGGCGACATAGGAGTGGGAAAGAAAGAAAAGGAGAAATGCTGAGGTTCCGAAAGACTCTGAGGTAGTAAGGCAGCCTGGCAGACTCCGGCCTCCATTCCCCACCGGAAGACCGAGATGCCCGAGCCCACCGAGGAGACAGCCAGCAGCCCAGACCTGGCTCAAAAAAACTGCAGCCCTGGCCCCGACGAAGTAAAGGACGCGAACTCCCTAAGGGTCCTAAACTCCCTAAACCCGAAACCTCAACATGATAGCTTCACCCTTGGCCCGGAGAGGAGTTCAACGCCATGGTGTCGATGCCAGCACCGTGCCTTCAGATTCAGGCTCGAGACACACCCGATCGAGGAAACTCGTAGTCTTTGCACGGTTGTCAAGCTAACAGAAAACGCCCGAGCTCTTGGCAGCAGCACCTTTGAGAGATCCATGGCCACTGCCTCTGCCGGGGACTGTCACAAGCTGCGAATCTGAAGGGAGAAGAGCCCAACACACTTCTAGGTCAAAGCGGAGTGGTCCAAGATCTGCCATTGAAGCATCCACAGTTTCGCACAACACACGACCTCTGCAAACGATGAAAATGCCGAGTCCCGGGCCGTGGTCTCCAGCAGTTCCGTCGTTCCCGATCCTGCAGTTCGCGAACTTTTGGAGCTCACGATCATCGAAGAGGACTCACGGGCGCAGTATCTCTTCCATCTTGAGGATCGGCCGGGTGCCTCGTACTCGGGCGTAGAGGTTGACTGCGGACGCGCAGGCATGGGTGGCCTGCCCGACTTAGGCAGCAAGAGACTATGTGGGAATCTCGCATCTGGGCTGGTCATCGGTTGGTGAAAAGATGTGAAAAGCCTGTCCGCCCTGGATAACCCGCTCCTTGGATTCTCCCACCGTAGGCCATAGGCAACACACCTTAGAGTGGCTGCGGACTCACATTTTATCGCTGCAGTGATCTACAGTGCTACAGCTTAAAGAAGCTGCTTTGATACGAACTGCCTCTTTGCCCCGCTACGAGCGCATGGCTGTTCGTCGTTTGTGGGAGCCTTCCCCTGCGAGTACCTGGTAGCACGACAGATGCTGGGCTGGATGCTCTGTGATTCTAAAGGAAATGCGCAAGGGCTTGCCGCGAAGAATTCATACGGCGTCACGTAGAAGTGACGAACCTGGCAAGAGTGAACAGTTACCGGGCTCGGATCGACATTTCAAGTCCAGAAGTCGCCCGTCGGATATGACTCGCGGTTGTCAACTCGTGTCCGGGCTGGCCGGAATCCCCGGAAGCTCGACGACAACCACCAGCGCTGCAGTGCCAGCCTCAGCCTGGAGAGTTCAGACGCTCCGACCCTGCATCTCTGTCGCAGTATGTCGCAGTCACCAGGGGCCTGGAAGGCATACACGTGCTTGGGGCTGCAAACAGCGAAGCCGCTGGCTCCAACCTGGATCTGCTGAAGCAGCACCAACATCTGACCGCCCTAAAGCACCTCCACGTTGAGTGCCCAAGGCCACTAAGTCTCCGGCAGGTTGCAGGGATGCCACATTCAGGCTGGCAGCGATTTCCTTCCAAGCTGCAATCGCCCCGGCATGACTGGCCGAACAGCCTTCCACTCTCGTGCTAAAGAAGAAGACTCCTCGTCTTCTCACAGGTCTCTTCGCATCCGTCCCAGCAGAGTTGGGGGTCGTGTGTTGAGCAGGCTGACGCCTTCTCCGTACATCCATTACTTGGACTAAAGTGTTCGTTGGGTAGCCTGCATGGCCCTCAAGGAGCTGCAAGAGACTTAATTAGGGCTTGGCGCAACAGGAATTCAGCAACTCCAGTTACATCCCCTGGCTTGGACACGGGATTTGTCTCTCCCCTCCCTGCGCAATCCCTGCACTGCATCTCGGGCACGTCTGATCAAGGAATATCAAGGATCTGCAATCCGTAAAACCTTCCAGAGTTGTTCACAGATGTTCCTGTGCTGCAGTTCGGTGTGGTCTGTCTGTATGTCATAAACTGGCGACGGGGCTGAAACCCCAACCACACAAGGCAACGGAAGTGAGAAGATGCAGCCGAAGCCAAATCCCAGCTCCAGAAGCACAGATGATTGCGAGTAATTGTGCACAGTTAGACTTGCACAAGTAATCCTCAAGTAATCCTGATACCTGTCGCTGCTGGTGGTCATGCTGAGCAGCATATGCTGAACGATCGGCCTTGTTAGGGAGCGCTCTGGTCAATGTGCCAACAGATGGATTCCGCTTCGCCTCCGGCGCATCAGCGAGGTCCAGGTGAGCTGAAGATACATCCAACTCCCAAGCGATTACTTTCTAGCACGGGCCAGCTAGTAACTAGATGTAACTAGTATAGGCCTGCAGGGGCGAGGCTGTTTGCGGAATCAACGCAACCCGATTTTCTCACTGGCCACGGCATGGGATCCATGGGATCAAAACTCTTAATTTTTGCAAGTCGTAGGCCACGCATGCTTGGTGGCAGGCAGCACTGGCATGCCCCAGGAAGACCCCATGCTCCTGTCTTCACAAGGTACTCTGCTTGTCGGCTTGGCGTTAGGTACTGGGTAGATCAGCAGCTGCCGGGAACTTCGACCCACGCTTCAAGCGCTGTCCTGTGCTACCACCACTAGGACATCGGCCGTGGACTCCTGTGTCACAGGACACGGCAAGGCCAAAGCAATGTTCCAAGCCCCCGAGTTGCAAGCACACGCTGATTATTACGACATTGATGCACCTATCCAGAAGCTGCACCTTTGAAATGGCAGGTGCTCCAGGTCTATTATGATGAGGCAGACGCTGTAGCACTCCAGCTTTTGCAAGCTTATACTATGGCGAAACCTTGCTGCTTCCTGACGTACACATTGCTCTATACCCATAGATATATACATATGTATATATATATATATACATATATATATATATCTATGTATTCGTGGCATCTCATGACTATTGTTAGTTCATCCTGGGTCTGTGTTGATACAACGGCTAGTATTACGTAACCGAAAACACGAGTTGTACGTATCCTCTGTATATACATATATACCAAGACACCGCACCATGATGCGCCTTTCATTTGCCAGCTCTGTGTATTTCAATTTTTTGTCAACGGACACATCTCTCTAAGCGACAGCTGGATTCAGCAGATTTGCAAGCGACAAGACCTGTCCATTGACGGCATGTCAACAGGGATCGCAGGTTATGTATGCACTGCACCGTATCTCGACCCATGTTAATTGATTGCTTCCGAAAAGATGTGTGGCGAGATCGGGCCTCTTTCAACCGATTCAAGCCGCAAACGACAATGGCGGCTTCAAAACTCTGGAGGGACATCCATCGCTGGCAGGCTTGCTTGCTGGCGGCTTTTTTGCTTTCTCTTTCGGTGTTGCCTTCTTGCAATCCTTGCCATCGTCTTGGCCATGCTCGCTCGGTATTTTGGAATCGGAGCTTTACCCAGGACCCAGTGCTGCAAACACACGTGGCATAACCTTCTGCATGAGGGAACCAGTTTCGATGGCATCAACTCGTGGAATCCTGAGATCTCCGTTAGTGCTTGTTCCATCAGATGCACGCATCATTCTTTGTGGACTTCATGATGGCAAATTCCTTCAAGATCTTCAAGATAGTCCTTCGCGTTAGCGCTCGATCTGCACTGGGCGCGAAGGATGCTGGGTGTGTTCCTAGCAGTGTCTGTTGCAAGTTTGTGTGCTCTCGGAGCACTTCTTGTGCGAGAGTCCAATCGCGGGCCCGCTGGCTAGATCTTCCTCCCAAACTTGAACTATTTATGTCTTCTAACCGATCTGCCGTCTCGTACTGGTCTGGCGGCGGCATACCCAGCTTTAGAGATCGGCGGAAGGAGAATGTTCCTCTGCATCTGGCTCTGCCACGTCAGGGACGGTGTGGGATATTACTCGCGGACAGCCCCTAAACCCTCAAGGACCGAGGCGGAGGTCCCTCTTTGGTTAGCTACCTGACCCAGCATGGGTCGTCAGCATGGGAGGTTTGTGTGTGGATCCATGCCTCTCAAGTTTCAACAGAAGAACAACTTCACCCAGCGCTGTGTTAAATAGAGCTGTTTCGGGAAGTCCTTCTGGCTGCCTGGACGGAGCAAGACCTCCACGAGGGTCCCGAAGTTGGCCTGGCACATGGCACATGGCATCAAAACCGTCAGCAAACCATGATCCAAGCTTCAAGCAGCCACGACATGCCACGACGGCTGCATGGCCTCCACGGCCCAGGAGGCGCGGCTCTCCGGCACCTCTGAACCGCGCAATACTACTGGTAGCGACATTGGAATCAAAAGGCGAAAGCCCGCGAATACATCAGAGTACCGCGGTATCCCTCAGTGCCAACAGCGCCTGCTCTAAGCTTTGAAGGCAGACGCTGCCACAGCGTGCACCTGGCAGGTACAGAGCTTCAACAGCTAGGAGCCGATGAACTCTGGGAATCGCCCCAGCGCAAGAAGATGCAGGCGCCGCCATAGAGGAGGAGCGGCGCTGCACCTGCGATGAAAAACTTCCGTCGCAAGCGGACTCTTGGCTCCAGGCAACCTGCCTCCATCCGCACAAGAAAGTTTGAGAGTATCGATGCAAGTCACCTTCAGCTCTCGAAGCCAGCTGAAAGAATCATGTGGAATCTGTCTGGTGCCTCATGGCATCACTGCGCGGGCTCGGCCTACCTACACTGAACCTCTTCAGATCCCGTTGTTGCTGGCAGAGTATGTTGAGGCGAACACCTGTGAACCCACTGCCATGCAAGCACGCGGCTCTAGCGCCACTTCCTGCGGCAGACGAAACTCGAAAAACTGCTGTACGTGCGGTCAAGCCTTCAAAGATGCTAGGAGGGCAGTGGGGAAACAATGTCAATGTGGCGTGCGGCTTACATGCACGTCATCCCTCCTGAACAAACTTCATCACAGCTAAGGTTTCCCACCTGCCCCGCAGGCTAGCTACGAGCAAGAACCACGCACCTTGCAAGGCGCCTCTGCTAGATCCCAAACCTCAGCGCAAGAAGGTATGGAAAAACAGTCTACCAGGTGATCATCGTAAAATCAACTCTAGGTTGACTGCCTGCAACCAGCGCCGAACTCCCTGACATGCCTGCAGGTGGTGCTTGCCCAGAAGTTTACAACATGTCACTCTCTGAGGAACATTGAAAGACCTATTCAAACATGCCTTCCAGCATGATCCAGCTGATCCAGCATATACGAGGTTGCCTGATCCTCAGCTTTGGGAAGTTGGGCAGCTGCGGCAGCGGCCTTCACGAACAAGCTGGGCACTTCTAATCTAACATTTTAGTCTGACCGCTGGCAAGGCATTTGCTAGAAGATGCGGAGTTCGGAGCTCCACACGAGTGAGTTTGCTGCCAGGCCGTGTTCATGGCCCCCATGGGCCCGTGTACACAAGATACATGAAGGGATCGACAGGGCAGTCCCTGTAAGTCGCGCATTCTTGCGTGCAGGCAGCATTTGGGCGCCAGGCTTCGGAATGCTGACACTTCCATAAGATGCTTAGAAGCCCTCCTGCGTGAAACCGCTTCCGGCCTGCGGGGGGAGTTCCAGTGGGGCCAGCGGCGCTCCTTCTGCAGACTTTTGTGGATGCAAGTATCGTCGCTGCTAGGCTAAACGGCCCGTCAGTGACTGTCTGTACATGCCACAACCGATGAGGACCATTCCTTTCATCGGCCGGCATGGCTTCCATGAAGCCATCAGTTCGTTTGGGGGCGAATCTGTTCGTGCTTTGTCGCGGTCGTGTTCGTGAATTCCCTGCAGAACCGCATGGCTCATGCGTCTGATTCCAACCCCCAGCATGTAAAATAGCAGTGCATAGTATATGCGATGATACACTACATATACTGTTTTATAATATCAGATCATATCATCTGCAACTCCATGGAACCTTGCTAACCGACCATTCTGCGGGTCGTTAACTTCCAGGAGCTCCCTGAATCACGGACCCCGGGCCCCGAATGCATTTAAGTCCTTTCTGGATGCCCCCTGCAGCCGGACTGTGACCGGCCGTTTCCTTTAAGGGAACTTGACAAAGAAGCAAAAGCTCGCAGTTCATACCTACATAAGAACAAGGGGTCCCATAGCAACAAATGACCCGTTTCGCCTCCAAAGATGTACTTGCTGAAACATGCATGTTCAAGCCTGCATGCAGGGAGAAACTCTCGTTGCATGATGCGTCTGACTTTCTTCCGGAAACTTGCAGCAGTAGCCCTGGACCCTACACCGTCCTCGCATCGCCTCTGCCAGCAGGCCCTTCAAGCGAGGCTTGCACAAATACTCCCCGCTGCTACTACCTGTATAAGGTACCAAAAGGAACTATAATAAGGTGCTAAAAGGAATTATAATACGGTACCAGAAGGAACTATGATAAGGTGCCAAAACGGAACTGCAAGGAGTCCGAAGTCTGTCCGAAGCAAATTGTGAGCTGCGAGGGACTTCCACTGCCCATGAGCCTTCGGCGAGGCGCTGGCTCGAAATGATGGGCTCTTCAAAGGGCCTCTCAGAGGGAAGTACGGCACCGGTATAAAAAGGACCCTAAAAGGGACCCCAAAAGCAGAGAACTACCCAAATGGGGGTTCGAAACAGCAACAGAACCGGGAGGGCAGGCATCAGGGAGAAGTGTCTTTCCTGTCGTTGGTCTCGCATTTGTTCTGCATGTCTCATTTCCTTCCAGGCATTCTGCCCTTCCTCCAATCGAGTCGTTTCCTGCCTTCCTCGACAGCTTCACAGTGAATGGCAAGGGCAGCAATGGCTAAAGTGGCTGCACTCGTGTTTTTTTCTCTTCCCTCCTCTCTGTGGGATCCCCCTTCCTGCCATGGATGGCCCTGCCTGTTGATGGGCTGGATGCGATGACTTCGCGGACCTCGGTGCGACGGTTCCCCCAGAGTGCTTTGCAGGTCGTGGTGGTAAGAGCGCCCTAGCACACCGCTTTGAAAGCTCACTACTAGTAGCATCTGTGAGGATCTAGGGTCCCAGCTGTCAGCAGCACCTGTCAAACAAATCTGCGAGGAGCTGAGCTTTGCTGCTCAGCCGAACTCAGACGAGGCCTGGCGGCCATGGAGCGGCCACGCCCCCTCGACGATAACGCAGGCAGGAGCGGACTGCCAGAAAATTGCCGCCGAGCTCTGCGGCTCAGACTCTACAGAAGGCTGAAGTTAGCACTTGGGCCATGAATCGAGCGCTGGCCGCCTCGCAAACCTCTGACACAGCCGCAAGAAGCTGCTCCTGCATTCGTCCATGGCATTATCGACTTACAGCCACAACAACTTTCTTTTCAACCGCCCCGTCCTGGAGGACTGATGTTCTTGTGGGAACCGCATCATTCTGCACCAGGTCGGAATGGAATGCTTCGCAGGATTGTCGCAGACCCTCAACGCGCTTCTATTTCTGCACCTGCTGTGCCCGGACGGGTAGGACACGCTCGTTTTCTCTTGGCCCTGGCCTGAGGCGCAGCGCTCGGAGAGGCCTCCAGGCTGAGAAATCAGGGCTTTACCAGGCTTGACGACACCCCAACATATTCTATCACACTGGCTCAGGACACTCCGCCAAAGTCGAACAATCTGCTAGGGAACTGTTCAACGGCCTCGCCTTCATGGTTGGTGACTTCTGTCGGCAAAGAACCGGCGATGTCTTTGCCTTGGCAGACACACGTCCTTGAGGTCTCGACATTTCTCGACATCTCAAACTGCCACAAGGTTCGGGCAGCTAAGAACGGGACTGATGCCAGTGACGGCGAGCGAGGCTTCAATGCAGGGCCTTCGCAGAACAACCCGAAGACCACCAGCCCCGAGCGTGCTGCGAGCAGGGCTTCAGAAGCAAGATGGCTGAGCCCTCAGCTGTAGCAAGACGCCTCGGCCTCAACCGGACATTAGCCCCAGTGGGCTGCTCCCAGCGGGACACCGCAACATGCCATGAGATCAACACTACCAACCGCAAAATGCCCCGACCTTCTCATCTCCCGCTTCATTCCTTTGCAATCCTTCGTGAGAGCTTCAGGGCCATCTGCAGCGCAAAACTAGCCGAGGCGGTGCCTCCGAGAGACCCGCGGAAGCGGCCGAACTCCGGGAGCTCCTCGGGTTCGTGGCTCGGGTTCTCTCCACAGGAAATCAGCTCCCCCCTGGCTCTGAGCATCCCGCTAACCACTGCAGCGTGACCGAGCTGCGAGGAAGCACACCTGGAGTGACGCAGTTTGACCATGCTCTGACCAAACCCTCCATATCTCTCCTCTCTCGTCTGCACAAGGCTACGATCGAGCGTAGACTTACACGGCTGCATACTTCAAAGGATCAGAAGGCCTGCAGACGCTCATGGAGTTGCAGTAAAAGCTGGACTTTACACGAATCCACCCAAAAGAGGGCCTGGCCTGTTCCTGGTGCAGGCCGGGAAGCAACGATTCCTCGGCTTCTAAAAACTGTCGGAGTCTCGGGAACGAGGGGATTCAGAAGGGCCGCAGATGTGCCCAGCTTTTGCTCTGGGCAAGCTGCATTCTCTGTCTTCATCGATCATCTACCAAAATCTTCAGGCAAACACCAAACGTCGTAGCAAAACACCAACAAACAGAGCCCGGCTTGTCAAGACCCTTCGCATGGGTCCTTCTAGGGCTGCCTTGGCAAGCCGTGCCAGTAACCAGGCCTGCCTTCGACAGAAGCCATCTGCATAATCCCGACAATGACAAAATCTTTTCAGGCCAGCAGCCTCCCGCCGCACAGCAGTGCGGCACCTCATTCAGAGGCCACCTGGCAGCTCCGGGAAGATCAACCCCGGTACCCGCAGCAACCAGGCATCTCGTGACAGCACGGTACCTTTAGATTTAGCCAAGCCACGAGGTGGTGACGGCCAGTGGATGTGCACCTACAGAGGACCGCAGCAGCCTGCACTTTGGGAAGCTTTCCAGATTGAGTAGGCCAGTGGTGTGTGGTCGACGGAGCACTCGCATAAGACTCTGCAGAGAAGAGGTGAGTGTAAATAATGTCGAGCAGTCGCATTCAGGCAACAAGCTGCTGCAAGCAACCGATTGAACTCCGTCAAACCTTGAAACAAATGTCTTCGAATCATTTGAGCACTGGCCTCTTGGAGCAGTAGCGGTCAATTTCCACCTGGCCAGCGAGAGCGATGAGTGTGCTTGATAGCAAGTTGTCACTTGTCTTTTTGCCTGGGATCATGGAATTCACTCTGACAGTAGACTGCTGGTGCAGCAGCGCAGCAGCCAAGCCAAACAAGCCTGTGCTGGCATCGGACAATCTTACGACTCCTTGAAATGCCTTCAACCATGCCATCATACAGTGAGATGTTGCTGTGTAAATGTCGCACTTAAGTCTTGCATGCAGCACATCGATTGCACACCTGCTCCTCATGCAGCCGCCCCACGTCCACCACTCTGCACGTCTGCTTTCCGTCGCAGACCACCAGCCTGTCAAAGGTGCGAGCAACTTGTAAATACACCAACACTGTGACACTCACAGGCCCTGCAGCGCAGCGGCTCCACCTGGTGCAGCCGGTGGATGATGCCGAGGGCGGAAGGAAGGGTCCCAACCTCTGAAGTTCTTGGGCCAGTCTGGGCTACCACGGACCCCCCTCCAATGCGACAGGGTGCACGAGGTCATGTCCACTCAGTGCCTCGCATTGTGCCAGGACCTCCAAGATCCTGCACCTGAGTGCTGCACGAAGCGCTGGGTGCGAGCTTTCATTGCCTCCAAATTCTGGGCCGTGGACGCTTGGAAGCGTCACCGCCGTCTTTGTCAGACCGCGAACTTAGTCCAGATTTGCATCGAATCGACTTTCTAGCACAGTCAGAGTGACCCACTAGTAGATGACTCCACCTCAAGCCTTATGCAGAAACTGAGAAGCTCGACCTCGCCCCACCGACTCACATAGACTGCGATCTCGACAACACAAGAGGCAGCACAATTGACAGCCTTGTCGCCGTCTCAGCGAGTGTCGATCGCAAAAGCACATAGTGGACAGAGCGTAATACAACACGGCCTCTGCTTCCTGACACCGCGAATGATGTAGCCTGAAACACCTACATCCTTCCGGAATCCAAGCTCGGCATATCTCAGCATCCAGGCGAAGACGGTCGAAGAATCGCTGCTGCCGTGCCCAGATGTGGAAGCGAAATGCCGGATCACCTGAGCTCTAGTAGATTCGACATGCAAACCTGCTGGAAGAGATACATAAGAATACATGAAGAACCCTCAAGCGACAGCTTGTGAGACCCCTCTGCGGCTCCCTGCTAGCGAAGGCAACAAAGGAGTCGTCAGTGAAGCCTCCAACAGGGCGAGGAGTTCCTTTTGTGAAATCAATCCGATTCAACATGCTCGATGCATCGGACATGCAAGCTGCAAGTTTCGTCTCGCATGCTGTTTGTTGTGGCCCCGAATCTACATGCGGGATACCCCACCGCCTGGACAGGTGCCACGCGATCCTGAAACAGGGCAGCAAAGCCAAGCGACATGGGCAGTTCCTCTACTGCTTCATCCGTGCGCAGTGAAGCCAGACGACAGGAAAAGGGGGAAAGCACGAGAAAACGAGGATAGTGAAGGAGAGCCGGGTGACAGAAGGAGAGAGCAAGTCAGCACCCTAACAACCCTAAAAGGCCCCCTAAAGGGCCCCCAAAAGGGCCCAAAAGGCCCAAGTCAACAGCGACAGAAGGAGCTCTCTGGGCCGGGCCCGGCCTAAGAGTCGCCAAAGCTTCTCCTCACAACGCTCAGCTGACGGGTTTCTAGGGGTGCTTTTTGTTTTTTTTTTGCAATGTTTTTTTTTTTTAAGGGGTTTTGGCCTGCGCAGGGCCAAATGTGTCTCAGGGCATTTTCGAGTCACTGAATGTGTGGATTTCGTCAACTCAGCGAAAGAGTATGTCCGGGCGCTGACGACGAGCTCGCTCCTTCGGCAAGCCTGGGTGGTCCACCGCCGTGCTGTCCTGCATTCCGGAGGGCGTATGAGGGTGTCAGGTGGGCACGGTCTGGCACGGTGACTCAAGTCACAGCACAGATACACGGCGTGCAGATGGTGCTTGTATATTTAATGCCAGGAATGTTGGTGCTCCGGGTTGATTGTTCCGATTGTTCAAGTCTGGCGGTTTGTGGTTCCAAATCTGCTTTTCTGCCAACACTCGTCGGCGACCTTCCAGTTTATCTGAATTGCTGTCGCTACGAACTGTTTCCGTCCGCATGTCGGGGACCTGTTGCTGATGCTTCTCAGTCGGAAACCCAACAGCGCAAAAGTTGATAAATTCAGGGAAAAAGAGGGAATCTCTGCTTTGGGGTTGAGATAGAAACTGACGATCCCTCAACAGAAGCGGGTTTCCTATGCACCGTTATTATCCAACTCTTCTGATCCGGGGCTTGGCGAGTATGAGCATCCAGAAGGCATCTCAGAGACACTCCTGAACCCTCGAAACCCAAAACCAACCATCAAAGCAAAATTCACACACCTAAACTGTGAGACCCTAAACCCGACAGACGTGATCATCCGAGAATGGGCCCAGCCTCTTGGAGCAGCGATGCCAAGAAGGCTGCTGATGCCAACACCAGGCTCAGCACTTCGGAGACCTGGGGAAAAATGGGGCCTTCGACGGTTTGAAGTCTGGATTTGTGGTTATGGGCTGATTTACTTCACAAGGCCCGTGGGTGAGCAGGAATTGTGGGGTTGCGGTTTAGGATTTGGGCTGAATGTTTGCTTGTTGGGTGGGAAAGGGAGTGTTAAGCTCAAGAAGCTACATTCTACGTTGGCATACCTCTTCTCTGGCTGTTGTATGTCATGGTCATGGCATATTACCAAGTTGTGTTTTGCACAACTCACCAATGCATGCCATTATTCCTGTGTACATGTATGTGCGTATGTATGTATGTATGTATGTATGTATGTATGTATGTATGTACGTATGTATCTATGTATGCATGTATGTATGTATGTATGCACGTATGTATGTATGTATGTATGTATGTATGCATGCATGTATGCATGCACTTATGCATGTATCTACGAACATATGTCGACGAAGTATACTGCAGTATGATTGTTGTGTAGTAGTTCTCGTCTGGGGCGTCCTTTTCCAGTCTTCTCGGTGGAGTCTGGGAAGTTCACAGGCAGCTGTCAGAGACCCTGGGAGTTCCCTACGATTGGCGTGTTTGCCTTTCTTTCGCACGCGAAAGCAACAGGAGGGTGGGCCCCGCTTCTCCACTTTTAAATTGGAACCATTGGCCATTCTCTTGGAGAAGCTTAGCTGCGACCATCATACCACCTGCGATCAATTATGATGCAGTGTTAAAGTAAACACACCCTTCGCGAGTGCCAAACTAGCGGCCGAGCTTTGGGTTGAACCATGTACACACTCCATCTGTGATGTGCACCAACGAAAGGCGTGAAATCGCCTAGAGGCCTAGAGCCTAAAGGCTGAGCCAAAACTGGTCACTGTGCTCTTCTACCACAGCTTCACAGGCTGCCGGATTCCCCTGCAGGCCCTCATGAATGTAAGCAGGAGCACTCACTTGTCTGGCGAAGTCTATGGCTCTGCACCCCCGGCTGTTCATCTGATCGGTCCGTGCGCCGGCGGCGATCAGGACTGCTGCAGCTTCGAAGGAGCAGGTGATGATGCTAAGCATCAAAGGAGTCGCCCCGTGACAGTGGTACGCATATGCGCTCAAAGTGGATGCTCTCCATCTGTGCCGCATCTTGTAATACTTCATCAGTAAATCTAAGATCGTATGTTGCTTGTGCTTCTGCGAGTTTACGTCGGCGCCTGCTGCGATCAAGGTCGCCACAACCGCAGGGTCGCCACCACCGAGCAAGAACACTGCATTCAAGCAGTGCGCGATGTCAGGCTGAGGGGTGAACGGCAGCAACTCCTGCATGTTTCGCACGCATCTCACGAATTCTCACTACAGCACCGCATGCGGAGATATTTGACTCAGATTCAGCCGGGGGAGGGAAAAGAAGAGGAGAAGGGGACTGCTTTGTGAGACATGAACAAGGCAATGAAACCAAAACCTATTCGTTGCCAGAACCGCCGAGGCAAACATGGGAAGACAGGACTCTAGCTCCGGGCTCTCGTGCACCCCAAGTCCTGTCCTTCAGAACGGCCATTCCACCTGGCCCTCCATGTATCGTGAACAGAAATGGCAAATGGCCCGTCATTGCTGGCACCGTCGCGCTTGCACCGTGTGCAAGTAGGAGTTGAATACCTGCACCCAGGACTGCTACAAAACCCACATGACGTGCTCAGGGAACCGTACCGATGCCAACCCGTATGCGCCTTCTTGATTGTTGCCACTCGACGCCCTGTGCATCGCGGTGCCTCCATAGCTGTCCTTTGCATGAAGCATGGCAAGCAGCCGTATTTCTACTGTGGGCTGCATGCTAGAACTAAAACAACTGAAAATCCCCAAACCCACCTTGGCACCGATGTCTGCTCGGGCAGCAAGGAGGACGTTCATGGCCTCGTTGTGCTTCAGGAAGGCGCAGATTGACAAGACAGAGGTGTTGTGGCCCAGGTTTACCAGCTGTTCTCCCCGCAACTTCAGCTTGTCATTCACATCGGCTCGGCCCTGCACAAAGCTCACATGTCTCGCAGCAAGGACAAGGATTCTCGTGCGGGCGAGACGTCTTTTCAACTGATTTCACTCAACTAAACTCTTGTGTTGAAGTGCACAAGGCGGAACCTCCAGAAGAGCAGAAATCAGCAGGGGACTTCCAGCTAAGGCTGCATAGCAAAGAGGAGTCCACCCAGTCGAGTCACGCGCCATGCTGGTGAAGCCATTCTGATACATGAACTCTTCCTGGAAGAACACACAGGGATCCGATGACGTCGAGGAAAAGCCCGGCACTATATCCACAATTGGAGCCATGTCCAGATTTCTGAAAATCACACTCTGCAAGTTCAGGATTGTGCGGTAGTTGTGCAGCATACCCGCCGACAGGTACCCGAGCAACTTCTCCCTGACAAGGCTCTTCAGGACTTGCCCAACGTTCTGAGCATCCTCCTTGACAGTAAACAAACCTTCACCCACAGGCTTGACCACCCAGTCGAACATGGATGCCAAGATCTGCCGCTGAGCACTTTGCACTTCGATGGCGATGCTGGCTCGCTTGCTCAGGTGTCTTACCACGAGCTCTAAGCGGCACCACCCCCTCGATGACCACCTCGTCATGTTGTTGTTGTTGCTGCAGCATCTCGTCAATGTCAATGTCACGTAGTAGTAGTAGTAGTAGTAGTAGTAGTAGTAGTAGGAGTAGTAGGAGGAGCAGCAGCAGCAG